AACCCTATGGAGAATTCAGTATAGTTGCATCAGAACATAATTTTTTGGGCGACAGGGTTGGAGGATGTATATGACACTTTTTACCGTCTGTTGTCTTGTGAAAAACACCAGAATTCCACTTTTATTTTGATATTGTGATCCAGAGGGATGGCTTTATTGCATCACTGGATGAACTGAGTCAGTACTTGTGTAATGTTTCAGACTCAGGGGACAGGACTCAAAGGTATAAATCAAAAAAGGCTTTACTTGAATCAGGGAAGGACTGTAACCGGCAGACACAGAGACTGACAAAACAGACAAGGTGCGGACAAACAAAAATCAGATTTAGGCAAGAATCAAGCAGAGAAAAAACATAGGATGACAGACTAGAATGCTAAGACTACTGAAGTAAGAAGGCAATCTGCAAACTGTTAAATGGCCGATATATATGCTAAGGAGGTAATAACAGACTGAGCATCAGGTGTGAAGGTGGGCGGGAAGGTCAGGTGATGCAGATATCGAGGACACCGAGGTAACTGCAGGGTAAGTGGGAGTGACAGGGTCTGACACAGCGGGAGAGGTCACTCGAAGGCAAGAACAAATAATAGAAGACGTTAAAGAGGCGACATAACAACTTGGCCATGATCTTGAGTCTGAACTCCATGTAATCTGCAAGTTTCCTGACATGGGGGGTTCTTGAACAAAAAGCTGCAGGAAGAAGACACATCCCTGTTGGCACTCTGTGTTTGTGCAAGAATGGTTAGAGCACCTACCTGATCCTCTGCGATCTGTGTCAAGAAGTCAGCTATCCATCAGCGTTTGAGATGGAAACAGAGCAGCAGTTCGTCTGCCAGGATGTGAGGGTGCAGCGTGTTGAATGTGGAGGAGAATCGGGCAGGCGTCAACCTGGCTGCTGCCTTTAGTCTCTCCAAATCACTGTGAAAGTGCTGGAGCAGCAGTCATCTTTCTGTTTGTGAAACAGCTTGCGCTACCACCCGAAGGCTTTACCAAATTAGTCCAGTCAGCTTCGAGGCTCTTCCCCCCCCTTATTTCTTTTAGATTTTTACTAAAAGCTATGAATACATTGAACTGACATAAGAGACCACGCTTACCCACTGCCTTAAATTTTTCATGCGAGGAGACGGAGTGTTTGTCGTACTTGAGGAAATTAAAACATTTGCCAGGTCTCTTACAGGATGCGTCATGCGGCATTAGCAGAATGTGTTTCCAATACAAAACTTTGTGTGTGAGGCAGACAGAGAGGCAGAGAGAGAAAAAGAGGGTGTCTGATAGAGCCATCACTCAGCCCTTTGGCAGTGATATCTTGTTTTTCTCTCAGAGGGGGCTAGATGTATCTGTGCCCCTTATGTGTTATTGCCAGGCTGAAGCATTGGTTGTAGATCACTGTGAAAACTGTGAAGCGCAGGGCACAGCGGTCCCCTGAATGACAGCGGCAGAGTATATTGAGGGGAGATGTTGGTCATCCGCCTGACTGAGGGAACATGCAGATGAAGCAGCCCTGCAATGACCACAAGATGGAAATGAGTGAATATTGTCAGAATGTCAAACAGCATCACATTCTGCAGCCTCACATGATACCGTCATGAGCTGTTCTTACTACAAGCTGCTGAGCCATAGGGGCATCCTGCAGTAGTCATTGCTCGGTGTTGCACTTTGTGATCTATTTTCAGCAATTTCAAGTAAAGACAATGTTGTGCTGTTCCCAGAGACAGCTAAGTGCCTGTTTTCTCCCCTTAGAGCCACATGTCCCAACACCAGCTTGAGGTTAAAACACACCAGAGTTTCCTTCCATGTGTCTCTCTTAATTTGTCTGCTGCGACACGATCCCACCTGCTAAAAAAAAATATATCTGAATAGTAACCAGACCACTAACTCTGAAATAAAGCCTATAAAGCCGTCCTAATGTTGATGTTGGTGTTTCAGGTATTAGTTGCAGTTGCACTAAACTGTCATGTTGGTAAGCATTTGAATAATACGTGATCTATTAACAAATGAGTCATTACTTGGAGGGCCGTGGCTTAGTTTGACAGCTATGTGTTTGTGTATTCTTGTTCCCATCTATCATTGTCTGGATGCGCACTCACGTCTATGTTTTGCATCTATCCAAACACAAACACACCATGTCAATGCTCCGTGCGCAAAACAAATTGGAGCACTCTGTACAAGAAAAGCTTGCCTGGGGCTAGTCATTTTGAAATTAAAAGCATGTCTCTTTGTTCAGCCTCAGTTCCAGGAATGAGGGAGAGAATGTGAATGTGTCGCATGGAGGGGAGAGGAACACTGAGCAGGTGCTGTGATTTTCACAGCCAGGGAATCGCACAGACTCTTTTATCTATTTCCCTCGATCAGGAGACATCCGGCAGAAAAGGTAGGAGGATTAGATTAGCTAGAGAGAAAGGGGTGGGGGGAGAGAAAAAGAGAGAGTGGGTTCTCTAATCCTGATGGGGCTTTTTCAGAGGTACACCCATTACTGTGGAGAAACATGCAGTGTGCAGTGGGGAGTTGGGATCGGGAGGTGGAGGCAGCGGGACGGTTTGCCTCACTAAACCCTTCACACGTGCATGAAAGAGGTTCCAGCAAACTAGAGGATTAGTCAGAGTGTAATTACACTTGTGGGCCTCAGAAGTAGCAAAACGTGCGCCGACTGGAACACACCTCAGACGGGCAGAGGAAGAAGGGAGTAATGCCTGTTAACGTGTTGCCAGTGTGTTGTCGGTGAATTCTTCAGCTGAATTAGATGCCTTTAGTGAACGCCAGCATCTGAGATCAAAGCAGTACTTGAAGGAGTTCTGTAGACCTTCTTGATCAGCATGACGATGTCTATATCTCACTTCATTTTAATGGCATTTCTGTTCTCATTTATTTCAGTAATTTATTCCGATCTATATTTTTTTGTTTTGTTTTAAAGACCTGTAAATTCAGTTTCTTTAAAAAACTTTTTAACAGCTAGTTATCATGAACACTAGTTGTGAAATAGCACTTATGTCTTGCATTGCGCTAAAAGCTGCGACAGGTTTCAGCTCCTCTCCCGGCGCTCAGCCAAACCTCCAGAGTATTGTCCTCTGGAAACTCCCATAAAATTGGGATTTCTCACTTTCTAACAAAGCCATATTTCCACTGTTGTTGTTTGGTACCATACAGAGAAGAAGAAACATAACCTGCGTTAGCAACAATGCAGTTGAGATAACTCTTTCCCAATGCACGCTATTTCCCAGAGACAGTTAAACACCTCACCCTTCAGAAAATAGAATTTTAAAAAGTTAGAAAATAATAATACTAATGGCAGAAATGATTAAAAATTAAACAAAGTTGTTGTTTTTTATCATAAATATTTTTCTGATTTGCAAAACAGCATGCGTACGCTGCTGTGTGCTTAAATATTAAACACAGCGATGCTCAGGAGGATTTGTTGTACGGTGAACTCAGTGTGAGTTGCTGTATTGTGATTCTGTGGCAGAGAATGGACTGTGGGGATGTGCTGATGCTCTGTTGTTGTGTTACTGTGCTCCAAAATAACATGTTTGAGGGAGTAAAGGCTGCTAAAGGTGAGGGAGAGGAGGGACTGAGAGATGGAAACTGGGGAAAGATGGAGAAGAGTTTGAAGTGGTTTCATGTGTTTTGCAGTCGACTGGGGGGGGTTGGCTGGCAGGGAATGAATCTGAGACTTGGCTGCGTTGCTGTCGGCAATTAATGCAAAACTTCCCTTATCCGTTTTGTTCAGACATTCTATCTTAGAGCTGATTTTATGTTCATTTTATTCTTCAAGGTCCTCGAGGTGAAGCCCTGCAGCATGGCCAGTCCGGGACCCTGCCCCACTTCTTGGAGGAGCCCGTCGATGCCTACATTGTCAAGAGCAACCCCATCAAGCTCCGGTGTCAAGCTCGGCCCGCGCTGCAGATCTTCTTCAAGTGCAACGGTGAATGGGTGCACCAGAGCCAGCACATGTCTCAGGAGCACACTGACCTCGGGACAGGTACAGTTCACACTCATTAAATTAATACATGCGTGATACAGATAAACAAATTCTCAACTTGAACTGAACTCCTTCTCCTGTCGAGCCTCTCCCTGTCATTTTGAGTTATGAAGATATCATTCATATTTCTGAAGGACTGAAGTCTTACGAATGAACTTTGCTACTGGGGCTTTGTGACAATGCCTACGGCTACATCCAACCCTGTAAATATACTTGCCTCACGTCTTTAGCGCATTCTGTGTGTCACATTTGATTTAAAGTGAAATGACAAGTGTAAGACCAGGAACGGCACCAACTTGTTCAATTTTAGGATTAGACTTTGAACTCTGAACGGTGCTTTTTACTGATGCAACTTGCTGAAATACAGTTGTTGTTGTTTTAACTTCAGAATGAATCCATTCAAACCACAAAGAGAAAATGTTCCTTTTTTCTAATACTTGTGCCTGTTTTTGTTGCATCATCTCACAGCGGGCATTAAATATCTTATGAATTCCCTTTTGTTTGTACAGCAAATTGAGGAGCAATTATACGCAAAGTGAATTTCTTTTCTTTTCACCATAATGCGCTCGTATTGTAATTCAATTCTAAAGATGCATACGTTGTAAAAAAAGTTGAGTTTATTGTGTGGTCCCGCAGCTTCCATGTGTGCAGAGATAAAACATTCAGGTATTAGCTACCCTCATTTATTTATTTAGTTGTTTGTTTTGTCAAGTCAGAATGATGGCAAAATATTTATGAGCCTGCTTTTGCTGCCATTAATGCAACAATGCTGATGCTTCACTCAACACACAGCAAGATCTCCTCCCAGAGTTAACAATGGACCTTTAAATTTTTACTGCCACTAGTCTGGATTCATAGCTCTGCTCCCATCTGGCTCCTTATCACCGTTTATATCTGTTTCCATTGGGACGGACACAAGGAAGGGGGTGTACAGATGGGAGCGGTTTGGGGAAGAGAGAATAAAAACTAAACAAGACAATGAACTGTGTTAGGATGCGTCCTTCTAACTCCAAGATGCATTTAGGATGTCGAGAATTTAAGCGTCCTATTAGTCTGTGGTAACTTTAACTTTAGCACAAAAAAAAATAAATGTACAGAAATGGATAAGTTAGCAAGTTGTTTTTCCCTACATGAAGGCACCTCAGTATTTAGATGAATTGTTATGCTGCAGAAGTTCTCGCTAAGTTTTGTGTATGCTATTCTGAGGGCTGTTTTCTGTCTATCAACACTTCAGACTGTTGTTATAGCACCAGTGCTCAAAGCTGAGGTGACTGTGTTACAGACAGCCAGGCTGCTCTTGCAAAGTTTAAATTTAATGAAGGAGGAAAAAAAGTCATGTGGAGAAACTGTGAGAAGCTGCCTCCACAAACACGCAAGTTTAGAGTTTTTACACTTGAGCTGTATGCATTGTCTCATCTCCTAGCAACATTACCGATGCAAGCAGCTGGATCGAATGACTGTGAAATATGATAGGGCTGGCTTGTGGATCAGTCACTTCTGTGGAGTGTCGGTAAATTATACGACTTTATACCCATTTAAAGTGCATACAGACATATAGATAAAATCCTACACATTATTATATACAAGTGGCATCAACATGTGTGGTAAAAGTTCAGCCAGGTGGTCCGCTACAGCCTCAGATTATGTTGAGCTGTGAAGTTACAAAGCATAACTTCAGCCCTTATTTGTCAAAGCATCTGATGTGGGACACAAACATCGTCATCTGTGGTTGATTCTCCCTCTGATGTAAATATCCTCGGGTGCAGATTCCATTTCAAATGTTCCATTGCACCTTGATGTCTCGCACATAGATTGTGCAGCGTGCATATTATTCGTTTTTGGCCGGTATGATGACACACTTGATTTTTTTTTTTAGATAAAGTCTTAACCTCAAATCCATTTTGCTGTCATTTATAGATCTTACAGATTTTCTATGGCTTTTCTATGGCTGGACATCTGAATGGGGCAAACATGTATAAGAAGTATCACCCAGATCTGCAGTTCTCCTCAGATATTTTAGGAGGTTTATAGCATCTTTCAGCTCATTTCTTTGTTTTTCAGCCTTTTTCATTTTGACGTTTTCTGCTACAGTAGGCAGCTATTTCAAGAAAAAAACAGCAACAACAAAAAAAAAACAACAAACTTGCTCAACACTGAACAAAAGATAGACAAAGCAAGAGACCAACAACAGGAGTACACAAGAGTGAACACTGGATTTATCACATGGTCAGAAACTTGACACTAAATGAGTGCTATTCTGGCTGCATGTCTGCTGCATGAATAAATCAGTAATAGTTTTAGCTAAACCCAGGAAATATTTAAATTTAAGAAGGTGGAACGTTTGATTTATGTTGTCTTATTAATTGCTCAAGCTGATTAATCGATTATTGAAATATTTGGTTATTAATTTAATAGTTGACGAGTCAATGAATTGTTACAGCTTTACTTTCTACTGTAGCAGCACAGAAGCTGCTTTAGTGGTCAGTTGTCACGGTATCTGGCAAATCATGACTTTTCGCCTCGTCACTGACCACCTTAGTGTACAGCCCTATAATCATACACAGGGACGAGGAAACCGTTGGAACAGTTCAGTGTTTCAGTACACAAGAAGATAAACTACAAAATAAGCATGAAGCAGTGGCCCTCTGGCATGACATAAAAATATCTGCAAAGTCTTACAGATACTTTACTGGATAAGGCTTCAAGAGAAAAGCAAGTAGAGGACAAAATGTTCCCAAATTAATGCCAATATCAGTCGATTTATAAGAACACCAAACCTGGCCATCTTTGACAGCCCACACTTGGATGTGACTACACACTCTGACAGCCTCCCTCTGAAAACAGGAAATAGCTTCAAATATTGCAAATATCATTTCTTAACACATCATTTGTGCACAGTGGAGATGTCCTTTCAAGTATGGCATAATTTTTTAGGAGAGACTCCACATTCATCTGTTCAATCACCGAATGAGCAGGAATGTAAAATGATTCCCCCACATAACGCTGGCTGCCATTATTTTCAGACTTCACTACATTACATATTTGTTTGTTTTGTTCAGTAAAATTGTAATGGGCTTTGAAAGCAAAATGGAAAAAATAATAGCCATTAGCAATACTGACAGTCATTTTATGGCTTTCCAATACCTTTGAGAGAAATTGTTGTAGAAATTTTGTAATGTGGAAAAATAATGACTTCTCTAATTGCATTCTTTAATCCTTTTTAAGAAATTATTTGCAAATAAAATGCAAAAATCCTTTTTAATATTGCTGCGGGATGAGTTTAGCAACTCATTATCAAATTCACATTTTAGAAGCACTATTTTCTTTCCTCAGATGCCAGCATATCACTGAATTACATTTATCTTCTCGGCATTACACTCTTACAGTTGGCATGAAGCCATCTGGCTAACCATGGGATGGATTGCCATGAAATTGTATACAGGTATTCATTCCAGTGTTCACATGTTTGCTTATCCTGTAAAACGTCTCACCAGCCTGCAGATCTCTGTGCAGGCACCCATGGTCTGTGTGTGAAGTCTGGCACTGACTGGTCCTGTAACTTCTGCTGCTGCATCTTATTGTTCATGAATTCCCTCAGCGTCAGCTGTACGGTCGTGACTCAATAATCGGACACTAAATGTCAAACCTTCTTTTATGTTGGATAGCAAGGCTGTCGAATTGTGAAGATGGAGGTCGAGATACAAGGAGGGCTTGATGCTTGAAGGGTCATTTGTTGTTAATATTCATTGTTTTTAGTTGTTATAATAACTAGTGTATTGTTAGAACACTACACATCGCTGGATTTCATGCCTAATTGACCGGTGTGCTTGTGCACGGACCCATTGGTTGGCATCAAAGGTAAGTGTTTCTAAATCCAATAGGTATCTGATCTTCTGCCATACGACTTCTGTCTGAACGGCCAGGTCGCACTTATCCGACCTACACGTCATTGATACATGACAGACTAGGGTTGGTCTGAATACCACTTTCTGGTCTCCGGATATTTGGGCCCAATTAATGATGAATATCTGAATGTTCAGCGTGGTCGGGGGGACCACTTCCGGCCCGGGGGAGCGCTCCGATGGGGTGGAAGTGGTCGGAATGCACAGGTGGTACTTGACTGCTGATGCCAGTTTAGTTAGCGGTCATAGTTCTGTTTCCACATTGGTGGTGTCGGGGGAGTGGCAGATACGCCCCACCATTACCATCCGTGTTTACTTCCGTAAACACTGAGCGCACTCGCTGCGTGTGATGTTGTTGTGTCCTCTTCTGCGCATGTGGGACACTTTTGGTTCGTATGAAGTTCACACAGCAGATCACATACAGGTCGCATTTAATTGGAAATGTGAATGAACTCGCAAAAAATCAGATTTCAGAAAGAAAATCCGAATTGAGTATTAAGTCCTGCAGTCTGATAGCCAATCTGTTTGATTGTTCAGTCAGATAATACGTCGTTATCCTTATTTGTGACATAAAATGTCATGTCTGAGTCGGAATCCAAGGCTGTCGGTATGTTAAAGCTATTTTTAATGGGTTCCGTTCGTTTTTCCTAAAAACCTGTCGGGTAGCAAGGTTTTTGGATTGTTATGGTTCGGATTATCGAGTCACGACTGTACTTTGTGCTTATTACCAAATGTTAGTATGGTAGTATGTTAAGCTGTGATGGTAAACATTATCTGGTAATCATCAGCATGTTAGTAGTGCTTTAAACTAAATGCTATTCCTTATAGAGTTTCCCAGCATGTAAGCACGTAAGTCGAGCCCATTAAATGATAAGAAAACTGTTAGTATCCCCACCTCCCCTCCAAACAAAGACACAAAGTTCAATTGCATGAACAAACCCCTAGTGTGCTTCCTCCCTGCCTTACACCAGCTATCATTTCCCCTGATCATGGAGCGCTTTCTCCCTCCATTATTTTCAACTGTGCGGGTCTCCTGAGGCCCGCTAGTCTGCCTGGGCCTCTACACACTCCTCTTTCTACTCCTTCCTTGATAAGATT